GCGGTGCGGAATTTGCACTGAAAATGCTGCAAATTCCGCACCGCATCAGTGTGAACCAGGGCTAAAGGTCCATAACCAGTATTGATTGTTACTAGCAGGGGAATCTGGATCTGTTAGTGTTATTGGTATCCTTTGCCCTAACCCTCTCTCCTGAGTTTATTGTGCCTTAAACAACTCTCTTAACCACTTCAATACTGGGCAGTTTTACCCCCTTCCTGCCCCATCTCACAGTTGGAATGACAATTGCAACACTGTACCCAAAATATATTTTTATCATTTTGTTCACACAACTAGACCTTCTTTTGGTGGTATTTAATCCCCATTGGGAATTTTATTTTATGTTAAATAAATAAAAAAAAAAACGAAAATTAAAAAAAAAAAAACATGTTTTTCGTTTCTGTTATAACATTTTGCAAATAATTGTTCTATATAAATTTAGGCCAAATTGTATACTGCTACATTTCTTAGGTGAAAATAACCCAAATTAGTGTATATTATTTAGTCTGTAGGAAAGTTATAGAGTTCACAAACTATGGGATATATCTGAAAATCGATCAGTCCTGATGTACTGATGGCAGTATAGGGACTGTGTACTGTAACTATCTTAGAAAAGACTGTTGCAAGGATGACTGCTATAGAAGTTAGGTTAGAGCACATTTTTTGTTGGAGAGTGACTGTCACTTTCACTGATGGTTAGGAGGTTAAAATCAAGCTCCAGAGGGCTGTCTGCATGAATTGGTGGCAGGAAGACCACCTAGGTGACTGGGGGCTACATTATCAGTGAAGAAGGTGGGAAGAGTTATCATTCTACTGCAGGGGCGGACTGACAACTCATGGGGCCCCTGGGCAATAGGGGATCATGGGGCCACTGTGTCCTCGCCCACACCCAAAAAAGCCTATGAAAAAGCCAATGAAAGGTACCAGGGGCATCTCATGGGGCCCCCTACTGACCCCGGGCCCTCGGGCAGTGCCCGAGTGCTCCAATGGTCAGTCCGCCCCTGTTCTACTGTGTGATCATACCTGCATGCTGCAGAGGGAGAGAGAGCTGCTTGTGCTGCGAGAAATGAGGAATCCCTTGCCACTGGTAACTACTGTTTCTTGTTTGCTGCATCAGACTGGGAGGTTAATGCGTAGAGCATGACCAATAACCCAGCTATGTCAGGAGAAGTCACTTTTATCGACAAAGGATTGAGATTGTGCACCATGAGATGCTACAAGGTTGACGAGAATGTCCACCACAACTAGACCTTGAAGTAGGTGTAACCACTGTGGAGACATCTTGATAGCTGTGCTGCAGCTGACTTAGTATGTTCTGATTGGACTGGGTAACTGGTGCCACCATGGAAGAGCCAGTTATCTTCACGTCAGTTGTTGCATCTGCTGCACAACTCAATTAATATCTAATCCTATACTGTATATAAATATTTCCACAAGTTACATAATATATACGGTAAGCCCAAATAAAGTGCTTTGTTTGAACCATCCAAACACTTTAGCTCTTTTATTCTCCCTATTATGCAATAAAAAACTGTTCTCAACTCTACCACCTTTGGTGTGGCATCCTTAATGTTTCATACATATTCAGATTTCACCCTGCCAGCTACCCTCCCCACCCTTTGTTTCGGGGTGCTTTGGTACATGTGAGCAGCCTCGCCAAACTGATTCAGCTTCATTATTGAAAAAATCATTCCCAACGCTGGCAGTTAGTATTCTAGGAAGGACATGAGCAGCACAGTGGCTAAATAGTTAGCACTTCCGCCTGCCAGTACTAGGGTCGTTGGTTCAAATCCAAACCACAGCACCACCTGCCTGGAGTTTGCATGTTCTCCCTGTGCATGTGTTGGTTTCCTCTGGGTACTCCAGTTTCTTCCTACATTCCAAAGACATGCTGGTAGGTTAGTTGGATCCTGTCTAAATTGGCCCTAGTATGTGTTTAAATTTGAGTTAGGGACCTTAGATTGTACACTCCTTGAGGGTTAAGGACCAGGGGTGGACTGACCATTTGGAAACTCGGGCACTGCCCGAGGGCCCTGGGTCAGTAGGGGGCCCCATGAGATGCCCCTGGTACCTTTTTCATAGGCTTTTTTGAGTTTGGGCAAGGACACGGGGCCCCATGATCCCCTATTGCCCGGGGGCCCCATGAGTTGTCAGTCTGCCCCTGTTAAGGACTGATGTGAATGTATAATAAAAAAATATGTAAAGCACTGCATAAACTGACAGTGCTATATACCGTAAGTACCTGAAATAAATGAGCAATGGCATACTCCATATTTCTGTCAACATTGGTTTTCTTCAAGGCTCGTTTACACATACAGTTGGAGAAAGAGGCTGTTGAGCCAAGGTTTTACCTGACCAGTAAAAGACTCTGTAGACTAATCCTTCAAATTAACATTGGTTATCTGGTTAACTCACTGTCATTTGACCACAGAATCAGCAGTAATTTTTTCAACAAAGTTGCATATTTATTTATTTTATCTATATATCTTCATATCCCCCCCACAAGTAGTACAGTATCACTGTGGTGACACTGTACTTCTAGGGTGACAGTATGTAAGAAAAAAAAAAAAAAAAAACATAAATAATAATATAAAAAATAAAATAAAAATGCAAAAAACATTTAGAAAAATTATAATTTTTGGTTATAAACTAATTTGGGTTTTTATTGGGTATTTTTTTTTGCTAAAAAGATAACTGAATAAATGTTGGCCAAAATGTATAAATAAAAAAGATTATTTATTTTCAAAATTTTAAAGAAAAAATACTTTTTTCAAAATGTTGGGACTTTTTCATTTATATAGAAAAAAAAAAAAAAAATCCCAGTAGTGAATAAATACCACCAAAATAAAATTTTATCGGTCTCAAAAAAATACTAAAAATTAATATGGGTACAGTGTTGCATGACCACGCAATTATCATTCAAAGTGTGATAGCACTGAAAGCTGAAAATTGGCCTGGACAGGAAGGGGGTAAAAGTGTCCGGACTTGAAGTGGTTAAATCACCTGCGATTCTTTGCAGTGCGATTTGAGCCTATTCATTTTGTATGGGCTAAAATCACACCGTACAAAAAAGTTTGAGTGTAAATACTTAAGTGATTCTAAAGGCATATTTTTTTTTTTTTAATAACAAACATGTCTATACTTACCTGCTCTGTGTAGTGGTTTTGCAAGTGCAGCCCAGATCCTGCTCTTCTCGGGTCCCCCGCATGTTCTCCTGGCTCCTCCCTCCTGTAAGGTGCCCCCAGAGCAAGCAGCTTGTCATGGGGGCACCCGCTGCTCTGTGTGTCCATTCACACATGGAGCTGTGGCTCGACCCCGCCCTCTCTCATTTGCTGTGAATGACAGCCAATGAGGAGAGGGAGTCCCGGGATAACTGAGACTCCAGTGCACATCACTGGATCTAGAGGGGGCTTAGGTGAGTATTAGGAGGGGCTGGAGGCACTGCTGCACACAGAAGGTTTTTTACCTTCATGCATACATGAAGGTAAAAAACCTTCAGCCTTTACAACCACTTTAGTATCGGCACTGATACCGGTATCAGTATTGGTGCACCCCTAATAAAATCTACTTCTAATTTATATGATCCAGTGCTCAATCACACCATGCGCATTGGGCTCTAACTTTTGGGACCATATCAATAAGACCTATTCACTTTCAAGTCATAATTTCATACTGAGTGTCACAGCTACTATTGCTGTGTTTAAAGTATATTATGCTGACAAATGGCTTTGTTTCATAATGAATGGAGGGAACAAAGGAAGTAGTGAGGAAGCTGCTGAGAGAAGGCTTACAGTGGTAGATAAACTGGAGGTGCTGCTGTCATACAGACACTGTGCAGCCGAAAAAACTCTCACCTGACCATCTGGCAGGGCACACACCGTAAAAGTCCCAGTTGTCTGGTTTCCATAGCAACACGCCCTTGCTGTCCAGGGAAAGGAGAGGAGGGTCAGTAGCAGGAGACCCCCTCATTTTCATGAATCAAGTCTGCATGTAGACCAGGTTAGGGGTTCACTTCTGGGCTCATCCCTGAGGACATACTCTGAAAGGTAGACTCTTGGAAAATCAGTATGTGCATATTAAAAACAGTAAGGAAATCTTGTAACAAAGGAAAAACTCCATAATGGCTTAAACCTGTTTAATGAAGAAATTATTCAATATCATTCAAACCCATCCAACATAGCCAAGCATCCTTATTGCCTTCCCTATTTTACTGAGAAATTAGTGCTGATACACTAAGATAGAAGATCAATATAATCATCCTATCTATTACTATATTATCCATAATATTCAATTAGTAGTGTCAACACATATTTTTTTTTTATCTTTAAAACATATATGATCTTCATCATTATAAGCTCATATAAGATTTCAAAGCTTATAATGATTTGGATCATATATGTTTTAACCACTCACCTACCGGGGCACTTATACCCCTTTCCTGCCCAGGCCAATTTCCAGCTTTCAGCGCTGTTGCACTTTGAATGACAATTGCGTGGTCATGTAACACTGCCCATATGAAATTTTTATAATTTTTTCGTGACAGATAGAGCTTTATTTTGGTGGTATTTAATCACCTCTTGGTTTTTTTATTTTTTCTTAAACAAACCAAAAACCACTGAAAATTTTGAAAAAAAAAAAGTTTTTTCTTAGTTTTTGTTATAAAATTTTGTAAATAAGTGATTTTTCTCCTTCACTGATGTGCGCTAATGAGGCTGCAGTGATGGGCACTGATAGGCTGCACTGATGGACACTGATAGGTGGCACTGATGGGCACTGATGAGGAGGCACTGGTAGGTGGCACTGATGGGCATTGACAGGAATCACTGATGGGCACTGAAAGGCAGCACTGATATTTGGCACTGATATATGACACTGATAGGCGGCACTGATAGACGGCACTGACTGGCACTGATAGGAGGCACTGACTGGAACTGTTAGGTGGCACTGACTGGCAGCACTGATAGGTGGCACTGATTGGTATTGATAGGTGGCACTCACTGGCACTGATGGGTGACACAGAAAGGGAGCTCAGATGGGCACTGATATGTGGCATTGATGTGCACTGGTAGGCACTGATATGTGGCATTGATGGGCACTGGCACGTGGCACTGATGAGCACTGACAGCTGGTACTGATGGACACTGACAGCTGGCACTGCTGGGGCTACACTGATCATCTGTGCTCTGATGATCAGTGTACATGTCCCCTCCGCGGAATGACGATTACCGGCTCTCCTCTCGAGCTGTCAGCGTGACAGCTCGAGAGGAGAGAAATGCCGATAACTGGCATTTCCCTGTTTACATGTGATCAGCTGTGATTGGACACAGCTGATCACATGACCAAGCCAACATCTTCAGCTCTTTCTGTGGATTGGTGATCCGCTGTGTCCGAGGGACACAGCGCACCGCCGACCGCCACGCTGCGCACTCCGGGAGCCGCGCATGTGCAGTTAGAATGGGAGGACGTCATATGATGTCCTCCCAGAACGAGAGAACCACCTTGCGTCCGTCATATTACTATATGGTGGGCGGGAGGTGGTTAAAGATAAAAAAAATATGTGTTGACACTACTAATTGAATATTATGGATAATATAGTAAATGACAGCCAGTCCTGAGTTCAGTTTCAAACTGAACTCAGGACACAAAAGGTTTCATTTAAATATATTCTTCTATAGCTGCAAAGGATATAAATCTGCTTTGTGTGCACCAAATGCCTTTGCAAACCCGGATATTACCTTGTAGAAGTAGCAGTGACATCATAAACTGTGCTGTTAATAACCTGTGCAGAAAGCAGAGCTGTAACAGGGACTCTACTCACTATAAGCTGCCTGCAGAAAACTACAGGAGGGGGTGGAGACAAGACCAGTTACCCTGCACAAGGAGAGAGTAGCATAGACTGGTCTTTATTACAGGAAGCCCTTGCACAGAGGGAAAGTTTCACACTGGAATACTGCACAGATCTGGAAGAAACACACAAAGCATGCCAATATTCAAATGAAAATGCACATTTCGCTTGTATTTAGACAATATTTGGTTATCCTGGAGTTTGGTTTTAATATGTCATTTCATTGCATTTCAAGAGAAATTTTCTATATTTAAAGCCTAATTTCGAACTAGGGTCTCCTTACTGGAGCACCCCTATCCTCATTAAAAAAAAATACACACCTTTTTTCAAGGTGTCTTTGGACCAATCATTTGAAATCACAGGTCTTCTTCACCGGTTTCATTCTCTGCCGAAGGACAGATCCTAAATGCTGCATGGAGTGGTGCACATAGTTCATTTTTTGCTGCTGTATTTAGCATTCTCCTACTTTGTCCAGGGTGAAGGGGGGGGGCAGAGCTTTGATGTCCTGGGCTCATAGTGAGTAGGTTTAAATCACTGATTGTCATTCAATCCATAGGGGAAGCATTGCAAGGTCAGTGGATCTGTGAGTCTGCAGGGGGTAGTTTCAGAGTTTGGATGAGTATAGCGGCCAAATCATACTAACAATTGGGACTCGGGACTCCTGGTTCTGGGTCACCTGATCACTGTGATAGCCTTTAATTAGGTATCACAGTGATCAGTCACTGTGCAGCCTGCCCATGTGTTTACTTTATCTTCTTGCAGGAGAGGAAGATGTAACTAAACAAAAGTATGTAAAAAAATTAAATAATATAGAAAAAAAAAGAAAGAAAAAATATCTAGCTCAAGGTTTTATCTAGGGCAGTGTTAGGTAAGTGTTAGGGTCAAGACAAGGGTTAAAATATGGGGTCAAAGGTCAAGGCCAGAATACTTTGGGTAGGATTTAAAAAAAAAAAAAAACGAATTTTTTAAATTACTGTCAGATTGCTGTAGGTAGAAAAAAAAGCAAATTTTGCAGTACTGACACAAGTAAACCAGGCAGAGCTTGGATGTGACGTCACCACGCATGGTGGGTCGTGGCTCACGGCTGGGAACAATGGCCGGAGTCAATCCCATTTTAAGATTAAACTTGATTTACTTGTGTCAGTGGCAACACTTAAAATTTTCAGTTTTATGGAACATTTTTTATGGTTGTACGCAATGAAAGATTTTCCTCTTTTCTTCTGGGTTCATGTATCCATGTTAACATGAGGCATTCAGCAGAGGGATCTGGTAGACTAAGTGATTCCTGGCTGTGGTGTTCTGTGAAGGGTGCCTGATAGGAGGAGAGATCCTTTCTGTAGATCCTTACTCCCAGAAATCCATGCATTGTCAGCTGGTTTATAACATTACCAGCCTGGAGCTCTGGTGAGTTCATCCAATTTACCTGGTGGTAGAAGACACACTGTTTATGGTGGTGCATGATAAGAAGAAGACACACGGAGCTTGTTATTTGATATTCACGTTGGACTTTTTTGATGCGGGAGCACACAATATAATTATCACAGTTAATTTATGATTTACATGATATGATTATTTATTGCACATATAGCACTTTGTTCATCAGGTTTTGCACATTAATTTGGAAGTTGTTTATTAAGGGGGTTTCAAGTTACATAATATTTTGTCATATACTTAGGATGCCGTTTAAGGTATGATTGCTAGCAGCATGGTATATATTTAGGAGATGTGGAGTGCTTGAGTTGGGGGTGGGATAGCTCTGTTCTATATTTTTTCATGCATGATTGTTTGGGAGATCACCAAAAATGAATTTATCTACTTTCCTCTAATTAAGGATCCCCAGGAGGAATCTGTGGCGCAGTCCGATATTGTTTCCTTCTTACTCTGTATGTAACACTGTAACACATTCCTGAATCCTGCAGTCTGTATGAAACACACTCCTGAATCCTGCACTCTGTATGAAACACACTCCTGAATCCTGCACTCTGTATGAAACACACTCCTGAATCCTGCACTCTGTATGAAACACACTCCTGAATCCTGCACTCTGTATGAAACACACTCCTGAATCCTGCACTCTGTATGAAACACACTCCTGAATCTTGCACTCTGTGCATAATACATTCCTGAATCCTGCACTCTGTATGTAACGCATTCCTGAATCCTGCACTCTGTATGTAACACATTCCTGAATCCTGCACTCTGTATGTAACACATTCCTGAATCCTGCACTCTGTATGTAACACATTCCCGAATCCTGCACTCTGTATGTAACACATTCCTGAATCCTGCAATCTGTATGAAACACATTCCTGAATCCTGCACTCTGTATGAAACACATTCTCCTGAATCCTGCACTCTGTATGTAACACACATTCCTGAATCTTGCACTCTGTGCATAATACATTCCTGAATCCTGCACTCTGTATGTAACGCACTCCTGAATCTTGCACTCTGTGCATAATACATTCCTGAATCCTGCACTCTGTATGTAACGCATTCCTGAATCCTGCACTCTGTATGTAACGCATTCCTGAATCCTGCACTCTGTATGAAACTCACTCCTGAATCCTGCACTCTGTATGTAACACATTCCTGAATCCTGCACTCTGTATGAAACACATTCCTGAATCCTGCACTCTGTATGTAAACACACTCCTGAATCCTGCACTCTGTATGTAACACACTCCTGAATCCTGCACTCTGTATGTAACACACTCCTGAATCATGCACTCTGTATGAAACACACTCCTGAATCATGCACTCTGTATAAAACACACTCCTGAATCCTGCACTCTGTGCATGTAATACATCCTGAATCCTGCACTCTGTATGTAACGCACTCCTGAATCCTGCACTCTGTATGAAACACACTCCTGAATCCTGCACTCTGTATGAAACGCACTCCTGAATCCTGCACTCTGTAAGAAACGCACTCCTGAATCCTGTACTCTGTATGAAACGCACTCCTGAATCCTGCACTTTGTACATAACGCATTCCTTAATCCTGGACTCTGTATGAAACACACTCCTGAACCTTGCACTCTGTACGTTATGCATTCCTGACTCCTTCCACACTTTGTGTAATGCACTCTTCTTCAGTTTGTGCAAAACCACATGTAATGGAAGCTTTTTATTCTTTTTTTTAAATGTTTGTGCTGGGGTTTGTGTCTGTGAGACTCTTGCTTGTGGCACAGCAATCAAAGCATATTTTATGGGTACAAGGAAGGCTGGGTTATGTTTAAAGAGACAGTGTACCTATTTTTGGTGAGTAGTAAATATGATTTTCTCCATATATTTTTTATGCAGATAAGAGCTTGCCACAACTGTTAGTGATACAGAAGACTAGCAAAGGTAGGAGGGGGCTAGAATAGGACATGTTTTTAAAAGAATGCTGAAGGACTGCAAATTATGATGGTTTACATTATTTTCGGAGCAGAAGCCCCAATCGCAGACACTCCAAAAAACATAAGACCCACCATCAATCATCTTCTCCTGCCCAGCTCAGGGCACTTTTTGGGCCTGCATGCAGTCTGCAGTGACAGAGAAATGAAATTGTCTGGATTGCCTTAGAGAATTGATAATGGATAAAGATGCGCATGTGCAAAATTCTAAGCCTCTATTTAGGAGGCTATTTAGAGGCCATCAGACTTGTAAAGAATCTATACAGTGGCAGGTTTTGCCTGTCAACCAGCAATGGCATTAACTTAATTAATGTGTTTAGAAATGGCTTTAAATTCAAGAGTGGAACCTGCAAGATTTGGCACAGTTTCAGGAGTTGAAGCTGGCAGCTGATTTTTGGTGGATGCTTTGATATACCTAGTACAGGCACAGCCATGAGAGCATTGTAGTTATACCACTGAAAAGCGGATAGAGCCTCACACAAGCCTTCTGTAACATGTTCTTTAATGGGAGGTTGTTATTTGGCAAACGCTGGACAATGTGGGAGTGACAGGAGGAAAACTGTGGACTGTGGCCACAGACTAGTAAGAGGCGGCAGCCATCTTTACACTCAAGTCTAATGAACTTCAGGAGGGTTCAGGAGGCAAAATCTTATAGGCCAGGCTGCAGATTTAACAGATTACAGTGGAGGTGCCCCGAAGTTACTTTTTGCATGGAATCAAGTCCAGAGCAGGTTACTAAGATGGCTGGAAAGTCTTTTGAAGGTGCACCCAACCAGTCTCTTCCAGTGGGGGTCAGGATAGCCTCCTTCTGAAGGGTTTGGAAGACAAACATCAAAGGTGGATCTGGAAGACACTTACAGTAGGTGGGAATACAATAGAGAATTCCAAAGTCGACCACTGAATCCATTTCATTAAGAATGTTTGCAAGATTACATATAAGAATGTATACTCCTACGGCCATCGTGCCAGTAAAGCTGGAAGAACAAAATCAGTGGGGCTTTTTTCCCTAGTTTTTAAATTAGTACCCAGAGGGGAGCCTTCTGGCCTGTTTCTGTTTGAAGGAATCGAATGTGAACAGAATAGAGTTCAGGATAGAGTTCTTGCAGTCAGTCATGGTGATAGTTTTGTAGGAAGAGCAGTTAGTGTCAATTGACCAGGCTGATTTATACTTCCATGTACCGATCAAT